TCGGGCCAAGGAAGAGTACTCCTCCTTGGTGACAGCTCCTCCCTTCCTCTGGTTGTACTCCCCCCTTTTAGTCCTCAGGCATTCCTGAATGCCCTTGCTGAGCCAAAGGGGTTTCTGAGCACTCTTACCCCCCTTGCTTCTCTCAGGGACTGTTACCCTTTGGGCCTGGAGGATCGCCCCCTTAAGGTATGACCATCCCTCATGGACTCCCATCTCTTCTACGTTCTGGGCCCTCAGTGCCTCCCCCACTAATCTCCGAAGCTCATTGAAACTAGCCCTTCTGAAGTCAAGGGCTTTAGTCTTGTTATAAGTCCTTGACACCCTGCACTGGATAGTGAATTCCAGCAGGTGATGACCACTATTGCCCAGGTGGTCAAGGACCTGCAGTCCCCTCACCAGATCGTCCCCAGTGGCCAGGACCAGGTCCAGCAAGGCGTTACCCCTAGTGGGGCTGTGCACCTCCTGGATAAGATGACGGTCCTGTAATGCAACCGGGAACCTGTGCAAGCGGTCAGACCTGGCTGTCTGCTCCTCCCAGCAAATGTCTGGGTAGTTTAGGCCACCCATGACAATGATATCCCCTTGACCTAACCACCTCCATAAGATGACCGGAGAAGTCCCGGTCCAGGTTTTCCCCCTGATTGGGTGGTCTGTAGTAGACACCCACTGTGAGGTCCCTTTCGCCATGCCCCCGTTGTAGTTTGACCCACAGTGTCTCCACCTGACCCTTCTCTAACCTGAAGCTAATCCTTGATGATGTGAGTTGCATTTTGACATAGAGCGCAACCCCCCCCCCCGCCTTTCCTCTCTGTAAATTCATCGCTAACACGGTTAATTTCTTGCTTTGATTTCCATGCATTGCACCCAGTCTTCTAAGAAAACTGAAAATGGGGCTAGCAAACAACTGACTGAATTCATTATAAACAGAATCCCATGTTCCGTTTGTACAGCTGTATAAAACGTTAGGTAGTTATCTTTCTTTTCTGATGTTCTACGTAAGTGTTCCATATTAATTCTACAAGTGTTTAGTATAGGCGTGGTCAAATTAACCTTTCAGATCTGATGCAGAGGCATCAATCTGTAGCACAAATACCTGCCAGTTTCATGCTGTCACTTTTTCAGATGGAACAGCAGCCATGCTTTTGGTACGTGCTACAAATGTTCAATAAAATGTAGGGGTCCACTCATATAGAATTTGGGGGCCAATACTGATGGCCAGTTTTTAAGGAGCCGTATCGGCTGATACTGATCCAATTCCAGTATGCAACCAGGCAACATAGAGAGTGGTGTCCAGCTGGTAAATGTGTTGTGGGAAAAGGGGCATGGGGGGAGGGGCAGATTGAGGCCCCCCACAGTGAGGGAGGGAGTGGGGCTGGGGCAGGCGCTGCGGAGTTAGGGTGGGGTGCAGGATGGAGCCACGAGCAACTCATCTGGGGAACTCTAGGGGGCCAGGGGAGTGGCTCCTGCCACAGTGCACCCCGGGAGGGCGTGTGCCCCTGGATATTTGTACAGAGTGAGGGCGGGCTGCCACTGTGAGCTGACGCCGGGGCTAGGCCAGGAGCTTGGAGTGGGTGGTGGCAGTGCTGGGAGGGGATTATGGGGGGGCTGCAGCCACCCCAAAATTCACCATAATCTCTCCCCCTCCCCATAACCCCCTCCAAAGGCACCAAAGGGCACCAAAATACAAGTTTGCCCAGGGCACTACACGCATGCACACACAAGCAGCACATGCTCACTGCAGGATTTCCTGCTACCCTGCCCCAGCAGATCCCCACCCCAGGTAGGAGGAGAAGCAGTGCACCTCCAGCTGCAGCTCAGGAGGAGCCAAGACAGTGCAGGCCGGGTGGCACCAATCCGGGATTTTTGTTGCCATTTTCATCAGCTAGCTGGGAATGCTAGTCCTGTGAAATCCAGGACTGTCCCAGCCAAACTGGGACATGGTTACTCTACTTAAAAGCCAAATCAATTGGATTTATTGCCTGGTGATATACCTTGTAACTAACATAGGATAGGAGCCCTATACAGGTTTTAAAGATATCGTAGCCACTTTTAAAGTATAGGGCTGACAAGTAGTGAATTACTGTTCCACTTTCTTCACTGTAAACCATTTACTGGAAGATCAAACCTTCAAGATGAAAGGTAATCAGTTTCCATGCTGGTATTGTTCTCATTAATACAGACTAATCTAATTGAGAATTGAATAGAAGAGAGTAGATGGCTAACCCACAGCACAGGTGCATAAGCACCGTCTTTAAGTGGTTTGTGACAGATCAGGGAGTGGAGAGGCACCACAATAGCAGATAAAACAGAAAGGAGAGCATCAGCTTGGTCAGGGAATAGAGGGCAGGGAGCAGACCGCAGAGCAGCAGATTAGGCAGGGGAGAGGGGATCAGAGTGGTGCTTGGGGGTCCTATTTGTGACATGCGTGTGAAAAAAGTTGGTTCACACTGGAGTAGAGAATCTGTCTAATTAGTAACCAACTGTACTGGCTTGTACTTGGTATTCTAATGTGTAGACAGATGGTTCCAGGTGAGGGAGCTTATCAGATTCATGTCAACTTTCTTACATGCTGGTCAGAGTTTCATAGTTTCTAGGGTCAGAAGGGACCTGAGCAGATTATTGAGTCCGACCCCCTGCCATGGCAGGAAAGAGTACTGGGGTCAAACGACTCCAGCAAGGTGTTCATCCAGCCTCCTCTTAAAGACCCCCAGGGTAGGAGCCAGCACCACTTCTCTTGGAAGTTGGTTCCAGATCTTCTGATATCTAGCTTAAATCTACCCTCTGCCGGCTTGTGACCATTATTCCTGGTCACTCCTGGTAGTGCTCATGGGAACAGGGACTTCCCCAGTGCCTGCTGGTCCCCTCTGACTAGTTTGTAACAGGCCACTAGATCCCCCCATAGCCTTCTCTTGTGGAGGCTGAACAGGTTCAGGTCCCGTAGCCTCTCCTTGTAGGGCCTGCCCTGCTGCCCCCTGATCATGCGAGTGGCCCTCCTCTGGACCCTCTCCACGTTGTCCACATCCCTCTTGAAGTGCGGTGCCCAGAACTGGACACAGTACTCCAGCTGCGGCCTGACCAGTGCCGCATAGAGGGGGAGGATCACCTCCCTGGACCTGCTCGAAATGCATCTGTGGATGCAAGACAGGGTGCAGTTGGCCTTCCTGACTGCATCCCCACACTGCCAGCCCATGTTCATCCTGGCATCAATGATGACTCCAAGATCCTTTTCTGCCTCTGTACTGATGAGAAGGGAGTTCCCCAGCCTGTCGGTATGCTGCTGGTTCTTCCTTCCCAGGTGCAGCACCTTGCACTTGTCAGTGTTGAATCCCATCTTATTCTCATCCACCCACCCCTGTAACCTGTCCAGGTCCGATTGGAGCCTATTCCTCCCTTCTAGTGTGCCCACGTCCCCCCACATCTTAGTGTCATCAGCAAATTTGAACAGGGTGCTTTTTACCCCCGCGTCCAAGTCACTGATGAAGATGTTGAACAGAGCGGGCCCGAGGACCGAGCCCTGGGGGAGCCCACTGGCCACATCCCTCCAGGTCGACAATGACCCAGCCACCACCACTCTCTGGGTGCAGCCCTCCAGCCAGTTGGCGATCCATTTGACTGTGTGGGTGTCGACACCACAGTCCCCCAGTTTCTTAATGAGAACAGGGTGAGAGACAGTGTCGAAGGCCTTCCGAAAGTCCAGGAAGACTATGTCCACTGCTACCCCTGCATCTAAGAGTTTACCGTTGAGTTTACAGTCTACCAGAAATAATTCACAATATGCATTCCTTCAGAAAAACTCCTTTAGAAAAACTCCTACTTGCACTTTTATAAAACTATTTTTACTAAGCTCTGCTGAGACTTGTCTACAGGTTTCTCCAGCTGTAGATGAATACCGCTGTTCGTGTTTAAAAATAAATAAATAAAAACATTTCCTTATCCCTGCTTATTAAAACACCTTATTAAAACTTACAGAGTGTATAAAGTCAAGTTCAATTTTTTTGCATTCATAATTTAATTAAAAACTCTAATCACTAAACACCCAATTCACTTCCTAGTCGGTTTCATTTTCTGGTTCTCTTCTAATGATGCCGTAATATAGTAATGCCAGAGTTGCAAAGACATCCGCAACTATATGGCCTATTTTTTGTTGTTAGTTTAATTTTCCATTGTAAGTTAAAATTCTAGTAACATTTCTGTTGCTCTTAATTCTTGTGTAAGTTGGTTCTGTCAGACCTTATATTCAGTCCATCATTCCTGTGAAAATGTTCCATTAGAAACCTGAATAACGTTGTATATCCTCTTTATATGTGCGTTTTTGTTTGAAATGTGTTTAAATATCATTTAATTGTTTTCAAATCATTTAAATATTTGTGTAATTACAGGTTACCAAGTTATGCCTAACCAGCAGCAAAACTACCAGGCGTTAGTTGGAGTTCAGCAGCCTCCGAATCAAAATCTAGTCAGTGGCCAACACAACAACATTGGAAACCAGATCCAAGGTGTCGTTGTCTCATATCCTTCAGTGCCAACTTACCAGGTGAATTCATAGCTCTATCTTCAGTTCATATCTTTATTCATAGCTTTTTCTTCAGTCAGTTTGCATTTAAAATGTGTATATCTGTATCTATACAACTTTTAAGCTGTAAAAAGCTACCAACAGAAGCTAGAGGATCTAAAGAGAGGGAGTTTTCTTTTGAAGTAGAAATAATAGAAAATACATAGTTGTCCTTTTTAATAGTTCTAATAATGTCATGGCTGATACAGACCAAACATAATATTAAATGGGGTACAGAGTACATAAAAACACTCTTAGGATTTGTGTCTCCTGTTACAGGGCAAATTGTTCTGCTTATTTCTGGTGTCCTGGGGAACCAGTTTTTCCACTGTTTACAACAAAATAACATAGAAACCTTTTTTTGGTATGCTGTTGTCATCTATTTTTCTTTGATTTACTGAATGCCAGAATAAGTCCATTTTCTTATCTTATCTGGACAGTTTGTCATGAAAGTTGTCAGTTAATGGAATCGTAGATCTTTGGTAAATGAGAATGTCCACTACAGGATAACTTCATGTAAATTGTTCGTTCATCAGCTTTCTATCTTGCCAGATCATGTTTTTGCATTCTCCACTTATACTTTCAACTTAAATGCTTTTAAAGTACTTACATAAAATGTGTTTCACAATACTAATTGAAGAAGCCAAGGTAAAACTTTTAATTTTCTATTTATTTTTAAAATAATACAAATATCTGCACAACCTTTTAAACTGTAGAAAGCTACCAACAGAAATTACTTGTACAAGATTGCTTGTATTATGAAAATGTTCTAACTCTTATGAAACACTTATAAAATATTGTTAAGTATTATCCCTGTTTTACAGAAGGAGCAACTGAGGCCTTGGCAGGTGTTAACATTACTGTTAATCAAGTCTTAACTAGTTACCCAGCCACACGTTCATTCAATTAATGGTGCAGTAAAACCAGGAACAAGCACAAAGTTATTACACAAAATGTATTTAAAAATTCCCATCACACTGTAGATTGTGAATGTGTGGCCAGTTAATCTGTACTCCCAGCCCCAGGAGCTCTTTGCTCTAGTGTAGGGGTCAGCAATGTTTTTGGGCACAATGCCAAAAACACCTGCAGCTTCAACTTGTAAGGTGTTGGTATTCCAGGGGCAGGCAATGGGGGAACCAGGAGCAGCCCAATCCTTGTGGCAGCACAGCCCTGGCCCCTTCCCCACTGTCAGCCCCGAGACGCACGTGCCAAGCAAAATGCCTTTGTGTGCCATGCTCTGGCACCTGTGCTGGGGGTTGCCTACCCCTGCTGTAGTGCCTTCCTGAGGCCGAGACTGCCCATCAGATGCCTGGTGCTCCAAGTTGGAGGAACCAGGCACCTGGCTTGCTGTCGTGATCCTGGGCTCCCCCTTGCATTGGCAGTAGAGCACAATTGGGATCTAATCCATGATCCCAACAGTTGCGCTTCCTGCCTTGCATGTGGCATGGTTAGCAGCATGATTATTGGGATTGTTGATAATTCTTATCGCACCTTTAATTGAATGTCTGCCAGGAGCCTGAGACAGAGAATTTAATTGATTTGTCTCAGGGCACACCATAAGTTGGAAACAGAATAAGGATCTACTGTCTCCCTATTCCAACACACTTTCTATTAGAAGGCCCTGTCAGCTTGTCCTCAGTAGCTTTCCTGAGTAATAGTGCTTATTCTTATATCACTAAGTCTGTTTAAAAAAATAATACCTTTGATCCCTAGCTGTCATGTAACTTTTTTCATATCCTCTCCTAACATCAGATAATATTGCCATTTAACTAAATATATAATTAATCGTGATGATCTCTGACAATTCTGTAAAAATATTCAGTATAGTTTAGATAACTAAGATTTTCTGGGTTTGGATTTTAATCAGTTTTTTTTTTTTTATGAAGACAGTGGAAGCTGAGCAATTTTTAGTAGATTGTCAACGTATATTCCACCCTGTGAGATGAGGTGTTTTGGGGCAGCAGTGTTTGTTGAGGCCATATGTGTGTGCCATACTCTTATGTCCTCCTGCCTGAGTGCAAAAAGGGGAGAACAGACCATGCCATCCCCCTCTTTTTATTGTTGATGGCTCAGGCAGAACCCCTACAGTGTCTGCCTGGGTCATTGTGCGCTGTTAGTCTCGTTGACTATTGACAGAAGAAATTCTTATTTTAGCCATGTGGACTGCCTAGCTCCATGGCTATTTACTAAGCACTTCTGCCCAAATATGTGTGATTTGAATTGAGATAAATTAGCTTCTTTCTGTGCTATTGAGGTGGCTTATCCACAAGTTAAGAAGGATAACCAATTACCTTCAGTTCCTTACAGGCCGTGCTGGACACATCCGCTGTACTGGCAAATACTGTGGCCATGGACAGGCATTACATTTATGTTGGGAGAAAAACCATTCTCCCAGCACAGCTGTTCAAAGAGTTTATTGTGGAAGAGGACTGGCTCTTCCACAAGAAATTTAGATCCGTGCCTACCAAGAAGATCTCCCTCCTCTCTCTAACAGTCCTAAAATGGATTTCCACTGCAGGAGAATGCCCCCCCCCCCCCCCCCCCCCCCACATCAATTGGATGATTGGCAGGAAAGGAAGGGCATTCTCCTGCGACTACAACCCTTCCCAGACCCCCCAGAGGATTGCCCCTGTAAGAAAATCCCCCCACTCTTGGCCCCCGTTCTTCCCCAATTCCCTGCACTTCTCTGTGTCAGCTTAAAGGAATGTAGCAGGTGGGTGGCAGGTAGCTGTGCCATAGTGGCCACCCTCCCAAGGCTTCACGAGTTGTCACTACCAGAGTATACACTCTTCCAATCCCCATCACTCCTTCCGGGTCATCTCAGAGTAATGCATGAGAAAATGGGCCATAGGAAGAAAATCAGATATGATAGAAGTGCCACTGGCCCCTATACCAGCAGGGAATTTACTAGGGCTTCTGGCAGACATTACACTTTAAGTTAATCCATTTTAAGTAGTAACCTGGCCACATGCTTAAGCCGTTACATAATATGTATACTAACTTTGTGGCTGATTCCCATCACACCTTGTACTGAATGTGTGGTTGCTCCCAACCTTGGGAGTGTCCTGGAGCCTTTCAGAACTGATTGCCAGCCATGCATTTGTGGCATAGCAGGAGGCAAGATTATTGGGACTGCAGATCAGATCCCATGGTGCCTTTTATAATTGATTCTTTGTTGTGGCCTAGGTAAAATATGCTCAGATGGCCCTAAGAAATAAAGCACACCTCAAACTACGGAGGAAAGCTGAAAAATCCCAGCAGTCCTGTCAACTGGACCGGAAGGACAATTTCCCCAAATTAGTTGATCAAATTTGATTCTGAGTGCATGAGATGCACATGTGTTCAGGTGGATTCCATGTGAATAATCACTTGAAGTATTAAAAATGGTTGCTTATCTTAGAGCAACTGTTTCCTCATGGTGTGCAGTGCACCTAGACTGCACAACCTGTTCTTACCCCACTGTGATTCTGTAATGGTCAAGGTACTGAGAGATGGTTAGATCTGCTCTGCCCTTTATTCCCTTACATCAGGGTGGGCAAAATGCGGCCTGGGGGCCAGTTGTGGCGTGCCAGGCCATTCTATCTGGTCCATGGGGCCCCTAAAAAATTTAGAAAATTAGTATTTATCTGCCGTGGGTTGCCTGTCATGCGGCCCTCGACAGCTTGCCAAAACTCAGTAAGCGGCCTTCTACCCAAAATAATGGCCCGCCCCTGCCTTACGTGGTGGGACACTAAAACAGTCTAAGAAAGAAGACACTCACTGCTAGCTAAAGAATTGTATTTCGTTCAGATGTGGACAACACATCCCAAGAACCAGGCATTTTTAAAGTTCAGTAATTGTTCTTTTGCTACTAGAGGAAGCTCCAACACAAGTTGAAAAGCATCCTGCTATTTTTAAGCAATTCATCTCATGTCTCCATAGTTGGATAGCTATTCTAGATTGCTTTTTCATTTGTTTTTATGCATCTGTATTTTAGACTGCTGCGTTCATCTGCATCTTTGCTACTGCTACTCTGCTATTCTACATTCTTAAGACAACCAGTTTGTCTGTTAAAGTAACTGAGGAAAATATACCATCACTCTTAGTATATATAGTTTAAATAGTTCTCAAATAGAAATTTGGCTCAGGGTTCTTCCTTGACACTCCAAGCAAAGTATCAGACTTGCTTCTTAAATGTGATAGCGTACTGTTGTATGGAGGTCGATTTCTTGTTTTGCCTAGGTCCTTAGTCAACCTTCACAGTCACCTCTTCAGTAATAACAAGTTGTACACTGAATCACAGCAAAAATGAAATCGGAGTATAGAAAACCAAACAAAGTTTTGCCTGATAAGTTGTTGGAATCATCGTTTGCTCTTTACCTTCCTCTGTATAGATAAGCTAATGGTTTTAGCTATTTCAAGCTGTAAACTTAGCCTGATGGCTTTACATATTTAATAAGATCTGTATTATTTTACTTGGTTTTTTTAATTACTCAAATGTTAAATCTGTTGCAGTCCCATCTGCTTGAAGTACATCATATTGCACAAGATCATCAAATAACCTTAGAATACTAGCTACAAATTAGGGAGTTTTCTAGAATGGATTATTTCTCAAGTGAAAAAAAAAAGATGGGATTACTGTATATTTTATCGTATAAGGTTAGATATATTTTTAACAAACTCATATAAATGATTGAGTAATCAGGAGACAGAGGAGAACTTGTCTGCAAAAGAAAGTAAGTCTTAATGCTCTCAATCTTTAGGTTTCAATGCCTCAAGGTTCCCAAGGAATGTCCCAGCAGACATATCAGCAGCCTGTTATAATTCCCAATCAGGCAAATCAAGGATTGCCCACAACAGGAATGCCAGTTTACTACAGTGTCATTCCATCAGGTCAACAGAATAATTTAAGGTGAGTTTAACTCAATGACTTGATCTTGAGTAACCCAGCAGCAGCAGAATGCCCAGGCAGTTTCCTTGTACTATCTAACACTTTCAGTATTTGCTTTAGGATCACCTTTTACAGCTAGAACGATAAAGATACAGTTTTGTTACCAATCTTCACTTCCTTTTATATGTGCAAGTAAAATAGAACAACTTGTATCTGCTGTAATAGGAACCGACTCATTTCTGACCACAGAAGTGCTGTGAAATATTTTTACAGCACTTCCCATAGCAGTTATCATATACCTAGGTGTTCCTTTTTGGGTATTTATTTGTGGGAAACGTTGTTTTTACATGAAACACCAGGATGTGCCATATTTCTGCAATGGTACATAAAACCATGGGGGAAATGTTTTTGGTCGGTAGTTTTGTCACAAAAATGACTTTGGGAAGGGACAGCCATAGCCAGTTGAGGCCCCAAAGCAGACTGAGAGTAGTGATTTACACTCTTGTCGGAGGGTTTTCTGGCAAATCTTTCCTTTGCTACACAAATGCACAGCCTCTTAAAATTTGCACAGTTCTGTCAGGCGTAATACATAAAGAAATTGTGGTAAACTGATGTCATTTGTTAAAAGGCTTATTTTTTTTCTATTTTTAGCTAGAACGACCTTCCCTCTTTCATTAGCACAGTATAAGATGGAAGCTCATGTACTGCAGCACTTAAGGAATTATCACTACGCAGCTGCGTCTACTTGAATAAGCCTGAATGCCTTATCTTTGTGTATTGCAGTCCTTTCTCGTGTCACTTCCTTGTTAAACTTCCAAAGCAATAACGTTTGTTGCTGAGTGTAGTATTGTATCTGGTCTATGCTTTACTTCAACAAGAAACACTATAGTGTGACATAGGCAGGCAAGGTTCTTTGGGTTGATGTGATATCTTTTATTAGACCAGCCGTAGTGTGGCAGTCAGAGATGACTGTCCAGAACACAGTGGTTCTCAACCTTTTTAGACTCAAGGTACCAGATTTGAGGCATTTTCTGAGGGGCGCCAGCTCTTAGACTTCTCTCTCTTCCTGACTACAGAAAACTAATAGAGCAATTTTTCTGTGGCGTAGAACTCAGATCACAGCAGGTCAGAACGTATTTAACGCTGTGGATTCCTATTTGAAAAATCTGGGTTTATCTTATGAATCATATTTGCATACCTAACAGTGAGAAAACTATGTGGCTCTGCATAGCACCCTTGAAAGGATCTCAAGGCACAGCAGGGTGCCATGGCATCCTGGTTGAGAATCAGTTGTCTAGAAGCTAATGACATCAATTTGCTATTATCAAAATAGATTTCTGGGTTGGGCCATTTAAATAGGGAAAATAGAACACCCTCCTGCTCTGTTCTGTACCAAATTCTTAAACTTGTACCAGGACACTCTTGGCAAGATACGCACGTACTGTGGACACAAGAATGTGTGCGCATGCATGCATGTGGGTCTGTATGTGTGTGCAACACGTGTTCTACTTACTGGAATGGAAGTTGTTTAGTAAATATAATAGTTAATAAAGTCAATAGTTTAGAAGGTTTCTTTCAATAGTAAAGGGCATATCTTTTTCATCTAAACACTTCTCAGAACCTATTTGATTTTCCCCAACTCATAGTTTAAGTAGTCTCCCTAAACTGCTTTAGTATTTGGGCCGAGAGAGTCAAGTTTTAGGTTGTGTGAGGTGTTGGTTTTTTATTTTTTGTTGTTTGTTTTGGGCTTTTAATTATGATGATCATTTTGCCTTCCACAGTTCAAAATAATGGAAATAGAATAAGAGATGGAGTAGTTTAATGTTTTTTATGCAAATCTTGTTTTTCTCTCAGTTGTGTTGAGTTTTAACTGAAGTTTCATGTTCATTTTCTGTCCTTGATCTTGCTTTGTTTTCTCAGGTGAATGTCTGTGTCTGTCTGTCTGTTTCTCTTTCAGATGCCTGACCCCATTTTGCCTACTTCTTTCACTGTGTTTTTCTTGGTGTCTCATGGATCAGTTTGTCACACAAACTTCCTTGGAAGTAACTGCCCTCTCCCTCTTCCTGCTTCCATTTGGAGTCTGTGTGAAACCACATCCCCATGGATACTTCATTATTAAAAACTAGTTAGTGGTTATTTAAACAAAATACTTTTAAAGTTTTACGGAATAATGTTGTAAAGAGTTGTTAGTCTAGGCTGGAAGGAATGATAAAACAGGAAGGATTGCCTATCCCATCTGATTCTGTACATCAGGGCTGTCCAACTGTCCACACCTGGCCCCAGAGGAGTTAACTTGTGGCCCCAGTCCTCCTGGTTGAGGTACTGCTCCCCACATTGCTTTCCTCCTGATGCTGATGGAGCCTATCAGCTCCCCCTCCCCTTCTGCTTCCACTGCCAGCTCGAGGCATGGGGTGGCACAGCATGGCCAACAGGGCTGAGGAAAGGGGGGGCACACAGCACGGTGTAATACAGTGAGCAGGCACTCACGGCAGGGGAATGAATGTGGAAGTGTGCTGGGGGAAAAGGGACACCTGTGCCACAGAACTTGGACAGCCCTTCTTCCTATTGGAAACTGGTTCTCCAGATGGGATACACCAGGGCTGTGCGCGCGTGTGTGTGTATGTCTATTTTTAATTGAAGTTGCTATCCTATTTCTGCTATCTGTCAATATTTCGTCTTCAGAGACCTTGTCTGTGTCTTGTAGAGCACTATGTACACAGATAGAGGTCTGTAGCTTAAGATAATAGATAATCACATCACGCCTGATGATACAGCTCTGTAAAATCTTTATATCCCCTAGAAGCTGCAGAAAAAATGTAGAATCAGTCAAAATAAACAGTTGCAAGACCTCCTTTCAAAACAGGCTTGCTAAAGGATTAGCTTCTTATTAGACAAATTGATTCAAAGAAGAAAAGCAGCCCAGGGTCAGGATTTGCCAGTATATGAACTCAGATGTATCACTCTTGAAACTGAGATTCTTTTTGTCACAGCAGTCTAGACTGCAAAAACATGTTTGCTCGGGGTTTTCCACTTATCTCAATAAGAAAAACAGCTTGTAAGCATCACTTTTTCTTTAATAAATATTTCTTCAGGTCATGAATGTGTGACCATTCCTCACTCTCAGTAAATAGAAGGGATAGAGGGGCAGGTCAGACCATCTCTTTTAACAAGGCTTGGTAAAGAAGTCTTGGGTAAAGGCCTGTTTCTCCTTCTGCAGGTTTTTTCTGTCTATTTAAAAAAGTGCTGGCAATTAACATCCAGAAAGTATAAAGGGTAGTCTCTAATAAAATAAGAAAACAAATATATCGGGACTATACAGTTGTAAGAACAAACAAACTGTGCTAAGCCAAATTCAGTATTTGTTTTTATATTTTAAGCTACAAAATAAATGAGAGGAATGTACAAGATTCACTTGGTACTCTATGCACTTATAATCTTAACAAATGTAACCCAGATTTCTGTGGATTCCAGCATTGTAACATGGATCAAAAATGGCTGAAGAACTTAAACAATAGGGGTAAAGATAAGTAAGTGGCTGGGGGAACTTTCCAAAGGTGGCTGATGTTTGTCCTTGCTTTTTTTTTAGCATCATTGGTTAGCTACAATAAATCTTTAACAGCATATTAATTTAAGTCTTACAGATGCATATAAACAGTGAAGTTGTTCTAAATACCAGCAAGAACAAAAGAATAAATACAAGTAGGCATTAAAATGTTGAATATGATGGGAAATAATAAAACAAGACTATAATTGGATAGAAATTAGGATATTCAGAATGAGGAAGAAATCAGAAAAGAAGTAATAACTGAGCTTAGCTTGCAAAATGACATATTAGCTGAGAAGCCTAGGTGCACGTGTTTTGAGCTACGTATAAGTTGACCTTATGTAAAAACGGCAAGGGAACTGATCAGTCCTTTCCATAGGACACTGGTGAAGTTACTCCTAAAAGGCCTGTGAACTTTTCCATAGTTCTGTGCCAGCAAAATGTCAAGAAAATTGTCAGAGTCCTTCAACTGAAAGAATCCATTTATGAGGAAAGATGCTTTATTCAATGACATATCGTTTGGGGATTTGACAGTTATCAACAATTACTTCAGAAATACATGCATTAAGTGCTTGCTCCTGCATAAGTGCCATTGAAGATGGAGAGAGAGTGGGACTATTGAGCACAATGTTATTTTCTAACCCAATTTACTGAAGCAAGATAGAGACACTTTGACAGCAAGGACTGTATGCTTGGCATACATGATTAGGCAGCAAGCATCTGGCTGAGAGGGACGCCACTTTCTGAATCTCTGATGGTTTCAGTCAGTGCCCAGCCTCCATGGCAATGCCAGTTCTTTCTTTATGCTATGTGTAACAGTGAATAATACTACTCTTGGTTGGCAGTTGGAGTTGTAAGTGGATTGTTGCTCAATTATTGCAATTATTGATTAATTATTGCTTAATTTCTTAAGTAATTCCATAGCTACACCTAACTTTTTTCCGGTCACTCTCATTATATCATTACCAGTTTCATTTCAGGGTAACCGTAAGTTCTTGCTCACACTCTGCAGTACCATCATTTTTAAAATATTTGGTTGTATAGAATTTCAGAATACATACTGGAAGCCGACTCGGCTAGCTCGTGGACTTTCAAGAGTGCGCAGTAGAGTGCAGAATGCCACAAAGAAATAGTGTGGACAGACTTCTTGTAGGGAGTGATAGGCAAACAGACTGTCTACAAAATTTGTTCACATGTCAGAGGGTTTGTCTATACAGGAAGATTTAGAAAGCTAAACCAGATTCATTAAAGGTATGAATTTACGGTGTATTAAAGCTTATTAAAACCATGCCTTGGGGCTCTCATTCAGAAGTACAATGGTTTGAATTAATTTTAGTTTAATTTGCTTCCAAAGCAATCTTAAGAAACGCTGCTGGTAATGACTCTTGTCCTATGTCTGTTTACACTGTACTGTCTATCAGTAGCTATATATACATTGTTGTAACCTGATTTTTTTTAACTCTGTTTTTAATTAAGA